AAATAAATAAAACCTTAAAAAAAAAAAGGCAATCTAGAGAAAAGAAAATGCTAAGAAAATCTTAGGGAAGAAAAAAATACATTTATGGTGCAGTAATATATTTGTTAAAAAAAATCCATGTATAACTGGACTTTCCTGGTTCAAACCTGCACTGTTCAGAGATCAACTGCATTTCCCAAAATGAACAAGTATTTAGGGAGAAGAGTGGCGTTTTTTATATTTTTGCTAATCTCTTTACTATCTGGCTAAATAGAAGACAGCTGGATTCCCATTCCCATGTCTGCTTCTACATTCGAATGTTGGTTTGGTTGAGATGTAGAAAGAAATAGAGCAGCTCTCTTACAGTTTGTAGTTGAAAAGGGAGGAGTAATCAATAGTCCTTTCAGGTAACTGAGGACCTGCGTGGTACTACACCCTAACCTGACAAATGGTGCTTTCCTGATCAACGAGGGGTCTCTACGTCAAGATCCAATAGTGTGTCTTGCACTTTGAATGGCTCTCTGGCCCACGAATGATTACAGAACATTATTTACTGGGCATCTGGAGAGCACTGGTCCCTATCTCCACTGGCCTCAGCTGGAGAGCCTGCAGCCCCGGGAAGCTGACACCTGCACGGGTGGGCACGAACTTTTTCCAAAATCCAGATTTTTGCTCCCAAACTCAAACTTTGTCCCTGACAACAAACACGGTCAGTTACTTCCCTTTAAGTGGCACTCTTGTGTCATTTTTTTGAGAAGATGCTCGCTAATGTTCGTTTGAGTGACCAGTCGGTCTGTGAGTGACGTAACTTCAAAATGGTGTCTGTGGAAACAGTGGTTTTGCTGTCAGCGTGTTGACTCTAAGACAAATGCCAATGCCTGAAAAACGGATTAACTAGAGAATAGGAAAAACAGATGGCTGATCATATTTAAAATATGACTGAAATTAAGAGATAATGGAGTTTATGTGATTTAGGCCTGCGACTCTCAATGCCAGGAGCTCTCCCGTGGCCACTGCTCCTTTTCATCCTCATCTCTCGGTTTTTTTAATTTGAAAATAAATGGGCTGAATGATCTGTAATGTTCTTTTATGCTCTAGGACCAAAGTCTATGACGTATAAAAACATACTGCACACATGACCAAGATGCTCACCATCATCAATCCCCAGGGAAATGCAAATCAAAACTACAGTGAGATCCCACTTCACCCCCATGAGAACGGCTGTCATCCAGAAGACAGACAAACCACAAGTGTTGACCATGTGGAGAAACTGGAACCCTCGTGCCCCGCTGGTGGGGATGCGTATGGGTGCAGCCGCTACGGGAAACAGTCTGGCCGTTCTTCAAAACATTAGACACACACAGTTAACATGGGACCCAGCAGCCCCACTCCGACGTAAATACTCAGGGGAAATGAAAACATACATGCACATGGCAGCTTGCATGTGAACGCTCACAGTGGCATTATTCACAACGGCAAGTAGCAGAATTGACCCCAGGGCCCATCAATGCATGAAGGGATGAATAAAAATGTGGTACATATCCACATAATGAAATACTATTTAGCAATAAAATGAACTAGTGACACATGCTACGATACGGATGAATCCTGAAAGCATTAGGCTAAGTGAAAGAAGATCATGTATCATATAATTTCAGTTACATGAAATGTCCAGGTCAGGCACATCTATAAAGATAGGAAAGTAGTAAGTGGCTGGGGGTGACAGGTTAGGGAGGAATGGCAGTGACCGTTAACAGATATGGGGCTTATTTTTTAGAGGGATAAAAATGTTATAAAAAATTAGATGTGATGATGGCAGCACAGTACTGTGAATATACTAAAAACCAAGGAATTGTGTATCTTAAATGGGTGAATTGCACGGTATAGGAATTATCTCTCAATACGTTTGTTTAAAAAAAAACATGTAGTAGCCCGTCTAACAGGCAACATATTTAAAAGAAATAACAGGGATCCCTGAGTGGTGCAGCGGTTTGGCGGCTCCCTTTGGCCCAGGGCGCGATCCTGGAGACCCAGGATCGAATCCCACGTCGGGCTCCCGGTGCATGGAGCCTGCTTCTCCCTCTGCCTGTGTCTCTGCCTCTCTCTCTCTCTCTGTGTGTGTGACTATCATAAATAAATAAAAATTAAAAAAAAAAAAGAAATAACACAAGGAGTATAACATCTATAGAGCTTTGGATTCTTCAAAGTGAGTGGAAATGAAGATCTTTAAAAATACCATAACAGAACACACGCACATGCACAGAAACACACAACAGGCGTACTCAAGGGAGCTGGCTAAGTGCTGCCTCGAGGGTCAGCAAAGCATGGAGCATCCACATCTCTTCCACCTGCCATGCTGCATCCAGGCACTGCTTGCGGTGGAGGCCTTCTATTGGCCCCTCGGGTTCTGTACCCACTCTCTACCTCTGAGAGGGCCAGAAACCACTGCCAGCTATCATCCCCTCCCTACTCTGTCCCCATGGAAAGGAAAGCTCTGGAAGGGCAGAAATAATGTTCACCACTCTATTTCCTCTCCTAAAAAAGTTTCTGGCCCACAGTGGATGGCCAACTGTTCAGTACTCCAAAGACCAACTTGAAATCTGGGGTGGGGACAAAGTGAATACAGCATGAAGAGAACCCAGCTAGGACACAACTGTTAACAGGGAGAGAAATTAACGATTTATTTATTTATTTACTTACTTACTTATATTTTTTTAAATTAATGATTATTTAATCTAAAAAAAAAAAAGTTCCAGGGCTTTAAGCATCCTCAGTAGTTCTGGTAATGTGCACCTGCTATGTAAATGCAAGGGAGCATGATCTGAGCAGGGGAGTGGGGCCTGGTTCAGGGCCGGCATCTGATCTAAACCAGGCCAACGGTAGTCTCACGCTCCGCAGATTCTTCCCTCTTTCCTCCTTAAAAACGGAAAGACCTTCCAACCATGTAATTTAATATGTAACAAATTAATGTGCTTACAAACTTAATATATATTAATAAATGGATTTAAAGATAAAATAAATTTAATATGCAATAAAGAAGCTTTTAAAATCAATGGGGAAGGGGTGCCTGGGTTGGGGGCTCAGTCAGTTTAGCATCTGCCTTCGGCTCAGGTCATGAACCCAGGGTCCTGGGATTGAGCCTCCCATCGGGCTCCCTGCTCAGTGGGTAGCCTGCTTCTCCCTCTGCCTCTGTGCCTCCCCCTGCTTGGGCATGTGTGCACATGCACATGCACTCTCTCTCTCTAATAAATAAAATCTTAAAAAAAATTAATGGGGAAAAGGGAATACATGATGTAGAGACAAGTGATTCTTCAGTCATTTTACAAGATAATAAAGTTATATCCCTCCCCTGTACCATTAAAAAAAAAAAGTTCCAGGAGGATTATAAAATGTACTGTGAACAACAAAATTATGAAGGTGTTGGGAGAAAATATTAGATTGTTCTTTGAGATTTGAGGATTTGGGGGACCTTCCAGAGTGAATGAGAACTGAAATTAAGGAGGAAAAAAAAAAAAGAGACTCTTGTTTTCCTTAGTCTGAAGGAGGAAAGTGTCAGGGCTCTCACTGCTCAGGGCACACATCACGCTGGGTCTGGGGAGGGGGATCCATGTGATCCTTGTACACTCGGGCCGGCCACATGCTAGTAAACTCTCAACTTTAAGAGTTAACAAGCTAAAATAATCAAGTTGATCTCAACTTCTGACACAACAGATTGCGAAAACTACAAAAAGGAACATTACTTTCAAATTCTTTTCCCAAAGCCAAATACGCAAGTGAGAAATTAACATATTTTAGGTTATGGGATCAGTCAATTCTGAATTATATAGGTTTGGGGAAAAATCAGTAACTTATGGAGGAGTTCAACGAAAATCAGGATATAAAATTTTATAGTAAGCAACAAGGACTCCTTTATAATCAGGGAGTACTAATTTCAAAGTTGGATAAGACACCAACCATTCCAAAAAAACTCAACAGAAAAATGAGTTCAGGGTCCAACAGTAGGAGTCTGAAATGGGATCCTGAAGAAGGCTTGGAGGGAACAGGCTGCAAAGTAGGAGACACAGAGGACTGAGGTTTGGGAGCTGAATGAAACCAAGAGAGAACTAAGTGTAGGATGATAGAGGCCCCTGGCCAACGGGGGCAGCCTGTTCTGACCCTGGTATTGGCAGTGGAGGCCCCCGGCCAAAGGGGCGGCCTGTCTGACACTGGCATTGGCAGTGGAGGCCACCAGCCAACCGGGGCAGCTTGTTCTGATCTGGGTATTGGCAGTGGAGGCTCCTGGCCAACGGGGGCAGCCTACCCTGACGCTGGTGTTGGCAGTGGAGGCCACCAGCCAACCGAGGTGGCCTGTTGTGAAACTGGCATTGGCAGTGGAGGCCATCAGCCAATTGGGGTGGCCTGTCCCGACACTGGCATTGGCAGTGGAGGACCCTGGCCAATGGGGCAGCCTGCCTGACACTGGCATTGGCAGAGGAGGCCGCCGGCCAATCAGGGTGGCCTGTCCTGACACTGGCATTGGCAGTGGAGGCCACTGGCCAACCGGGGTGGCCTGTCCTGACTCTGGTACTGGCAGTGGAGGCCGCTGGCCAACAGGGCGGCCTGTCCTGACACCAGCTTGGTCCTATCACTATTTTAACTCTGCGCCGTTATTAGCATTTTCCTGCACATGCATGGACAACTTGTTTACTTCTAAATTATAACTGGCACCAGGACATTAAAGAGGGTAAAAACATAAATACAAATGAGCGCTCTGACGTATCTGGCCTGTAGGGTACATGTGGAGTAAAAGAGTTAACGTGTAGGACACTTTGGACCTAGAAGGTACAATTCCTCTCCCTGTTGCCGCTACGACCCTGGACACATTATAAAGATTTTCGTTCTTCGAATGCAAATCCTGCGACAGGGAGGCTTCTTTGTGGGAAGCGTCGTGTGAGGCTCAGTCGGCTCGGCGTACGCCGGGACCAGCAGAGCCCCGTCCGGCACCCGGGCTGGGACGCGCCGGTCAAACGGCGATCACTTACCATGTGGACTACTTCTGGGTAAATAGGCTCTGTGATCACGTTCCGATTATGGGTGATATACTCCACCATTTCACTTAGAGCGGCTCGTTTTACTTCCTTCCACTTTAGGTCACTTAGTGGGTCGGAAACAAAGTCAAAGAGGACACAACACTGACGTAGCTTCTGGATGAAAAGCTTCTCTTGATCAGCAGGAGGAACATCTGAAAGGCAGAAAGCAAAGTATATTGATCGCAAAGAGCTTAACCCAGAATTACTGTGGAACACTCTTAAGCCTCCTCCTACGGTCATTTTTGAATTAATAGAGATTCAAGCTGAGAGACAGGCTAGGGATGAAGCGAGGTCAAACATCCGCCGAACAGAAGACAGCCAGTCACTCAGCTCCTACGCTTCTTACGATAAAACTTCTGTACTAGTTACTCTCCGAAACCACAGCCAGAGTACTGTTCAGCATAAACCCTCTGAATGCATGCGTTCATTCATCAAGGATCATCTGAGGGCCACTTGTCACATGCTGGTGCTGTGCTGGGCAACGGAGCAAGAGCCAAACCACAGGCCCCAGTCTGGGGCGAGGGGCACGGACACTCACACCAGTGGTACCTGCGGATGCAGGGAGGGGCAAGGTGACGAGAGTGACAGGGGGAGGGATGCTCCCTCAGGTCTGCTCCTGTTCTAGACAGGGCACGTGGGTGTCCCCTGGCTGGCTGGCAAACACGGAGCAAGTGGCATCGGACTGAGTGGCTGCAAACACATGGAGCCACCACTCTGGCGCTCCACAAAGCACGTTTCATTCCTCATTCTGGGACACGGTCAACACATGCCACAGAGGCTGCCTGGTGATCTTCATGATGACAGCAGTATCGAAACTGCGCAAATAATAAATAACACTCGCTTTACTTAGGGAGTGCTTGCCTGGGCCGGGGACCATACTAAAGGCTTTCTCCATATTTACACAGTTTTTTTTCTTTCATGTCATCTCACCATGACACAACAGAGATAAGAAACCAGTCTGGAGGGTCATCTCAGGGCAGGGAAGTGAAGGAGCTCTGTACAATCTCCCAGTGTTCTGGGAAGTCTGGAAAACTATCTGCCCGTGTGAGCGTGACAGCTTCCCTGGGGTGAAGATGAGCTCGGGGGTGACACGAATGAAAGGGATTTATTGATATACATACCGAAACGTGTCCAACATTGCAAAATGTCTCAGAAGATTTGCACAACTCAGTGAACCAGTATTTTCATAATGATCAATAATTCGTGTTTCGATATTCAAGGGCAAGCGAACCACTCAGAGGGCAAGTCAGTCTACTGGGTTTTAATGGAATAAAATGTATGGATGGATGGCTCATTATACGGTTGCAGACTCCACAGTGCGGATTCCTTCAAGAAGCTGCCCATTTAAGGGCTGGTATAACATCAGAGAAAATGCCTATTACTATCTGAAGAGATTATCTGTACACTTCAGTAGGGCAACAGAGTGAATGCAGAAGCAGACAGGACAATCCAGTGATCTCCTAGGAAGCCAAACATTAGAGAGATTTGCACAAATATAAAACAATGCCGCCCTCTCATTAATTTGTTTCCGTTTTATAAAACATGGCTCTTTTCTTAAAAAAGGTTATTTTTAAGGCCCATTATTTTTAATTTTAGCATACGTGCTGCCAAAGTGAGCACACAGGCTTATTATTTTTAAATGAATTAACATATGCTTTATTTTTTCTGCTTTGATTTGGGATCTGGTCCATATTGGTAGCCAAGGCAACATGAACAAAAGCTCTTTGGGGTCCCATGTAGTTTTTAGGAGTGTGAAGGGGTCCTGAGCCCGAAGCTGAGACCTACTGCCCCGTGCCTGCCTGCACCCCAATGTGTGCCCCTGGGTCCTTGGGCTTTCCCACCTTCAGCTACTCATGTCATCCCCTCTTCACACCGAGGGTCCTCCCTGCTCCTCCTTCCCCTTCCTGCCCCTACTGTCCCATGTCCACTTCCTGTTCAGGGTCCTTCTATAAAGGCTTTGCTTACTTCCTAGTTGGATGGGTTGCCGTGCTCTAGGCCAGGCGCTCAGTACCTACTATTGCTTTAAGCAGTGAGCTGTCCTGCAGAGTGTTTCTTGCTTCCCCACACGTTCCTTGAGGGCTCAGGCCAGGTGATGATGTTTTCTAGTTCTCCATACTCTCTAATGCCCTGCAATGGGCCTTGGAAACAGTAGGCCACATAGACGCTACCATCTGAATTGGCCCATTTGGTGGGAAACTGTAGTTCCCACAGAAGCAGCACAGGGCAGGGGAGGGGATTAGGAGATGTCGCCCAAGGGAGACTTAGGAGACCACAGGAACCCAACTGGTGAACACTGGAGTGCTCAGTGACTGCTGCATCATTTTATTTTATTTATTATTTTTTTTGTTGCATCATTTTAAATGAGTGACGATCATGACAGTGTTTGGGTCCAACTTTTTCCAATGGTTTTCTTTTCTGAATTCCTCACTTGACTCCTATCCCCACTCCACGCCAGTTTTGCTCCCCCTCCATTTTGCTAGGATCACCTTAGTGATTCAGTTTGCCATCATGGCTTGTATGTTTGGACTCTATCTGGCATTCCCGTGTTCTTGACACCATAGAAAGCGAGAAAGCCTGGGTTTACCCCAAGGGACACCTGATGAGGACCCAGACACCGAGAGCTCAAACGGCTTGTCCAGGGCCACCATGCCATTAAGTGGCACAGCACAGATAGGACAGTGGGATGTACTCAAAAGCAAGGGCATAGCTAGGGTCACTGAGGTGCCGCCAAATCTCCCACATATTGAAAGCATTCGAGAGCATCATTTACTCCTTTTTTTTTTAAATTTTTATTTATTTATGATAGTCACAGAGAGAGAGAGGGAGAGAGGCAGAGACATAGGCAGAGGGAGAAGCTAGCTCCATGCACCGGGAGCCAGACGTGGGATTCGATCCTGGGTCTCCAGGATCACGCCCTGGGCCAAAGGCAGGCGCTAAACCGCTGCGCCACCCAGGGATCCCCATTTACTCCTTTAATACAGCATCACAACTGACACTCAGAATAAAGACAAGGTTGTCTCCAAAAATACTAAATCAAATATATTCCGATTAAGAAGGAAGAACGGACTAAAATAGTTTCCAAGTCTTCTATCTAAAATTCTTCTAAAAGGCAATAAAGTTCCAATTTTCTGGAAATTATGTCGATTCTTCCAGGGTACCAGACAGCTACGGTGTTACTGTACTATTTTCATTTATAGTTTCTAAAAAGTCTGTGATTAAAACCTCCTGAGTTCCAATTTTTAGAACCTCGTTGGCTATTTTTACAATTTCACAGTTTAAAGGTCTGAAGAAAATTTTAAATTAGCATCGCTAACCTTGGAAGAAAAAAGAGGCACGACAGATTTGAACCTGTACTTGACTCCACTCCTCTGATTACCCCTGTAACGTAAACCGAATGTTACAGAACCAACCAGGCCTGGCACTGCTGGTGCATTACACTTGGGCATTCGGTATTCAAGAATGCCCGGCTCTTAATAAACCACCACCCTGGATTTGACCCAAACCTTACAATTTCTTTCTTGCAGCAGAATAAAAAAACAAAAATGGGCTTTGAATTTTTGCTCACCAGTGACCATGGTTTGCTTTATTGTAAACCGCACACAGACTAGTAACACGGACAAACCTGTTTCAGAATACGTCAATGGAGTCTCTTGATCCCAGCATCCCTACAGGCAACAACTGCAGCCTGTTGGTGGTGCCAGGACCCCCCAGTGACAGGGCCCTTTAGCTAGGAGCGGGGTAAGAAGTACACTTGCCCATGACAAGCCCAACACCAGGCCGAAACTGCTAAGAGGAAGAGGGAAATAAAGTTGGTGATCACAGTTCTGGCTGGAGAACATTCTTTTATTATTTCTTAAGAGTTGTTACACTCTGCACGGATAATACCACAAACACTCTGGGTCTGTATTAATCTTTCAGCTCTTGCCCCCCACCCCAAGCGGCCTCGTGACTCGGTTATTGTGAACTGGAGACACTTCCCAACTGTTTCCAGGTACATCCTGAATGATACCTAGGAGCAAAATGTAGGGACGCACTCATGCCAAACCTGTAGGGCGAGAGGGGAAGGAGGACACTAACCCATCGGCAAACAGCATAAACAAGGTGGAGAGAAGCCTGTGTCATTCTTTTCAATACGTATTTACTAAAAGGAAGCCAGTAATTTGTAACTGACAGGGCTGCTCAATGAAGGTTACCATCGGGGGGGGGGGGGCATTTTTAGCTTCATGAATGTTCCTGGTCCCCAAAGTGAGGAAGGGCAGCATGCCTACCCCCACAGCACCAGAGCAGCCATAGGGAACCGGCTTGTTCCTCTGATCCCTGACCTCCAAGGCTGGGATGAACTCCCAGGGGCGCCCAGGGTGGTAACAGCAGAGCTTCTAGGTACCTAAACTTTCTTCTTCTGCAAAGAATAAAATGTAAGCTGTACCAACATGTGGTCTGACACGTAGTGGAGGTGCGTGCTTGAGACCGCTCTGCAGCTGGCATGTGCGGTGGCATCTGGAGACCACTGCAAACCTTCACGAGTGAGTCCTAAGGGGCTAATCGTTTCACAGCCAGCTTCCCAGGTGTGCCTCAATCACTCAAAGGGCAGGGCCCTGACACGACATACTTTTTAACAACTGAATTACGGTATGGTATGGTAAGGCTGAGCCACTGAACTGTAGCCATATGGGAGGAGGCATCATGTGAACTGTCCGTGGACAGAAAAGTGATGAAACTAAAAAAGCCAACCAAGCCCAGTTGCACCTGACAAGTCTTGGTGGTGAAAAGAAACAGGACAAGATACAATAGAGAACCAACTTTTAGCATGAGAGCATGAAAGACAGCAGAATCAGGCCTCCGTGGTATACAGGTGATGGCTTTTTCCAAATAATCTTGACCCCAACACGTAAAGGACGGAACAGCCAAAACCGTCAGCTCAGAGAACGTCACATCAAGAGATGCTCCCCCCAAAGGCACACACTCCTGAGCTGTGAACTGCTTCGTGGTTGCTCACAGAATATTTGCTAAGCAGCTGACGCGGCTTGATTTCTAAGGAGAGTGACCACCGTGCAACCACAGCATCTCTGTGAGCCCTCAAGGGCATGGCACACGGGTTCCACGAGGGTCTGTGAAAATCCGTAAGTCGTGAGCCCACAGTCAGGAGATAGTT